TTTTTTTTTTAAATATCACAGATCTTCATTTATTTCTTTCACCAGAAACGCATGCATAGCGGAAAAAGTACTAATGATTTGTTATTTAAGCACGCACACAAATATCTCTATATATGAAAGGCAAGATGTGTGTGTGTGTGTGTGTGTGTGTGTGTGTGTGTGTGTGTGTGTGTGTGTAACGAATGCACGGCTGCAATTTTCGACGGATTTGCACCAAAATTTACATGAACATGCTCCAAGTTAGTGGAAAGGCCAAGACCGACTTTGCATTTCCCAACTCACATCGATAGTGGAAATAATCGATTTTTCTTCATGCTTCTACGGCAGTTTTCATGTAGTTTCCGGCCATTTTCTACTGGCCAGAGTGAGTGCCTATAGCTGGCTTCAACGAATAGGCAGGAGATTCTATTGGCCACCGTGAGAGCCAACGGCTGACTGACACGAATGTTAACTAGCATGCTAGCATGCCAAAAAATCGATAACTGCATTCGTCACAGGTGGGAAAAATTTAAATCTGCATGGCTGTATTTCTCTAATTGGTTCATTCGCTTGCTGAAACTCAACGTTGATTCTGATTCCGCAGAACTGGGTTGGATGTGAAAAAGTATTTGTTGTTAACATTCTTTTTTCATTCGATTTTTCCAGTTACGAGTCCCTTTTTAAAGCTGATCGTTTTGTCTTCATTTTGTTTAGTTCTTTTTTCGTAAGAGATTTAATGTTTAGTATAAAGCTTAGAAAATTTCGCAGTGTGAGATAGGAAAGAAGTAAGGCATGTAGCAACATCAGCACGGCAAAGGGCACTCCTTTAAAGGCAAGGAAGGACAAAAGAATTTTAAGTCAAGTGATAGCGATTGCTGTATGTCGTACGATTTTTGAATCAAGCACGGGCAACGCCGGGACATGCTGCTAGTATACATATATTTCGTTCTTGGTTTTTTGGATCTGATGAAGCCTAGATAGACGAAACACGTAATTAAATCTGGTTTTAATGAAATATGCATATATATATATATATATATATATATATATATATATATATAATACATAATATATATATATATATATATATATAATACATAATATATATATATATATATATATATATATATATATATATATATATATATATATATATATATATATATATATATATATATATATATATATATATATATATATATGCATGTATATAATGAAAATATATATATATATATATATATATATATATATATATATGCATGTATATAATGAAGAAATATATATACAAACTCACGCACATGTATATATGTTGTAGTACGATCCACCTAATTTACATAGTTGAGTACCGACCATATAAATATGGGTTGGTACCGGGAAGACGGGGGAAGTAAGAAGAGATGCAATCCAGAGACTCTGCCCGACTGCGACTAAGTCAACCCATTCTACAGGAAGTCTTCCCAAGAATATACCAAACTATCTGTAAATATTGTGTACACGTTCTTGTGTCAATACATTTTGTGTTGTATTATTATTATTCCGTGCTTTATTCAAGTTTCAACAATATATAATAGATATAATATATATGTTGTATGTATGTGTGTGTTCGTGTGTGTTTGTTTGTGTGTGATCTTCAGTTCATTTCATCGACAATTTTGCATATTGAGGTAACTTTTGTAATGAACTATTCTTGCCCGGGACAAGTTCACATATATTGAGCGCGGACGTGAATCATAATCGGAAGAAAATTAGGCTGTTTTCTTAAAAAAGCATACCTATATGTAGCATGATCCTCATCTAAGCTCAATGAACCTCGCAATGTAATCTAGACGTATGATAATTTCTACGCTTTTTCAGCCTCACATAACGACTTTTACATTAGTAGTGAAACTATCATTAATAACTGATGCTTTAGATACTAAATTTCAGCTAATTTTCACAGTATAAAAAAAAAATTAATAATCGTGTGAATAGTGGCTTTTTAACCTTTTCAATATTTACACCTTTCCATTAAAAAAATGGCGAGTTTCGAAAACGTTGAGACATCGGAGACACCATCATGAGATTTAAGACTCTGGTATACGTAACAGAAATTTGAGAATATATGATGTTTTCTTTGATTCGACTTCAATAATCTTGATCACTTGTTTACTAAACATCGCTTTTTAGCAGAAGTCATAAAGAAACGTTTACTTCGCCATTTAACCATCAGTGTGATTCAGCAGACAGATTATATTTGTGTAATTAAATAACTACCTCGGCGCAATATTGTTTACTTCAAAAGCATGTATTTATATTCGGATTTTAATTCATAGACAACGATATTTTTTTTCTGTTTAATCTTCGTTTGGATCGTCTTTCAAGTTTTCTATTCCTCGTCTTTTCCAAAGAATGTTTAGTTCTTCCGAACGATTTCATTTCTTATTTATATTTTTATACATTCTGTCCGATTCATTATTCCTTATTCAAAACCCAAACTGATTTTCATTCATTTTTACTTCCACCCGGGAGGTTTTAAACAATTCCCTATTAAGCGCAACATTTTAACATGGCTTCTAAAGGTAAAGTTGTTGCCGTCAAAAATAATCGACGGCTAAAGGACAATTTTAAAATATTGTTTGAGAATAAAATAATTATTTATTTTCAGCTTACGTCTCAAGAAACATCTATTTTGGTGTCTAGTGAAAGAGTTGTCTCACAAATTACACAAACTCCAATGTCTATTGGTTTTGGTTACACTTGTCTCAAATTTCAGATGACACTGATTCTTGTGCACAGTGATAGCGATTAATAGGAGCTAGTATTTTAAAAGTAAACACAGAATATGGTGTCCTGCGAGAGCGTATACATCGTACTAATCTCTCAGATACGAGAGTTCACAAATTCCTGTGGACATTGATCTTGATTCCAATCAGCGCACGCCTCAAAAACATTGCATCCAATCAGATGCAGTTTCGAATAGCACTAATTTAGGTGTCCATAGATCGTGCATCCAATCAGCTGCGGCCTCGCATAAGACATTTTCGGCATTCTACTGATCTCTCTTCCAGCTTTTCAGCTACAGTCATGAATAACATCATTTTTGGTGACAAATGACCTGGCTTCCAATCATCTACAGTCACGAATAACCTCATTTCGGGTGTCAACTGATCGCACTTTCAATCATCTAAAGACTCGAATAACACCATTATTTCGTGTACCGCCTGTCGTGTTTCCAATCAGCTGTATTCTCGAAAAACACCAATTCGGATATCCACTGATCTCCCTTCTAATCCACTGCAGTATCAAATAATGTCAATTCGGATTACCACTGATCACGCTTCTAATCTGACACAATCTCGAATAACACCATCTTGCTACTCCAATGATCGCTCTCATTATCAACTACAGTCTTGGATAACACTATTTCGGATGACTACTGATCGCGCTTACAATCAGATAAAGTCTTGAATAATACGATTTCGGGTGACCACTGATCGCGCTTACAATCAGATACAGTCTCGAATAACACCAATTCGGATATCCACTGATCCCTCTTCTTATCCACTGCACTCTCAAATAACACCATTTCGGATATCCAATGATCGCGCTTCTAATCAGTTACAGTCTCGAATAACATCAATTCGGTTGTCCAGTGATCGTTTTTCTAATCTGCTGCAGTCTCGAATAACACAATTTCGGGTGACCACTGATTGCACTTAAAATCAGATAAAATCTCGAATGTACAAGAGTTTGGTTGTCCAATGATCACTCTTATAATCAACAGCAGTCTGGAATAACACCATTCGGGTGGCCACTGATCACGCTACGAATCAGCTACAGTCTCGAATAACACCATTTTTTGCTACAACTGGTCACGATTCCAATTAGCTCAAGTATCTTATATCATGTACTCCGCTGACGACTGATTGTATTTCTAATGCTTCATCTAAATTCTAAAATAACATCGTTTCTGGTTTCCATCAACTGGGCTTTTAACTAGTTTTATGTAATATGCAATCAAATACACTTTTTGATTTGATGAAATAAAGGAGAAAAAAAAATCTTATTGAAATTGTCGATTTCATTTGATTTCTCCTGCAAAAAAATGATTTTCCAATCTGATATCATCCACGTAACTGAAATATGATCTTATCTAATTGATATTCCGCTTTTTCATAACTTGAGCGCTCATACTACGTATAGGTTTTTCAATTAAAACGAAGTAAAAAAAAAACAAACAATATGAATAAAACTTTGCACACAAAAAAGAGCACACCAACAGGAAAAAATACTAGTCACATTAAATGAAAAATTAAAAATAAAACATATGTATTTAATGAGATTAAAAACATGCGGAAAAAAGTGCCGAAAGCATTTTAATTAAGAAAATTGATCAAATCTTCGTTGGAATTCTAGTCATCGCGAAATTATATTACTAAAGTCGGCCTGTCTGATAAATTAATCACTGAATGAATCTAAAATATATATAAAGAAAAAAAAACGAAAATGTCGATAATAAAGATACACTAATTGAGGATATATATACTCGTATTGCAGGCCAGGTTGCAGACGATGAAAAGCATTTAGCAACTGTGATTACATTCCAAATAATCAGGTAACTGATAGCACTGTTATTGATAATGATGATGATAGTACAAATCTTCTTCTGATTTGAGACTTAGAACATTTTCGGTGTTGATGTTTTGGATTAAGACACTACCGGTAACACAGATTAACTAGGCAAGACGCCTTAAATAAAGAACTCAAAGTGAGTCAAAGAGATCGGTTGGAGTCGAAGAGAATTTCTAGTGAGGTCACGGTGAGTAGCTGAAGCGTGATATAATGTTATATCCGCTAGGAGCAAATTATAACAGTTACTAAAAATGCTGAAGACGAACGCCTTGATATTGGCCGACAGATTTCGTCTGACAAAAAACGAGAAAAATGTTTTTTCTAGCTGAAAAGACGGAGCTTTAAATTACACTAATTTACAAATAATACGTAAATATTAATCTTCGTCGGATTTCTCTTCTAGAGAATACGGCCACCTCCCGTTGAAACACTGGTTCCTGTACGATCACCGAAGTTAAGTAGCATCGACTCTGGTCAGTACTTAGATGGGTTACTACCTTCGAATACTGGGTGGTGTAATGGATAATGGCTCAGAAGTTTTAATCGGAGAGCTGAGTTTCAGTTGCAGCTGAGATCGTTATAATCATTTACGAGTAAATGCTTTTTGGAAATGTATAAATCTCTTCTGTCCATAGCTATAGGTTAATTAATAGAATGTGTTTTACTACAATGCCAGAAAAATAAACTTGCGTACAAAATATTTAAATTCCGACATTAAGAGGCTGATATGCCGCTAAACAAAAACAACCAACAATTTATCTCCTATCCAATAATTTAATTGATTATTTGCTAATCGCTTACTTTATAATGCTTACTTTATTTGGGGCTGGCTTTGCAAGGATCTTAGATTTTATTACCGTGCAAGAACTGGTTTACTTAGTCATCAAAATAAAGTAAACTAATTCTTGCATGAAAGAATCGGTGGCATTGACTGCATGGGAGTCTTAGTGGTGGACGAGGTTGATTTTGTTGAAACTTTCTCTCTTGTCCATTGACTACCTTTTCTCTTTTGATGGATTCATAGGTTTTGGTACCGAAGCTGATGCAACACAAGGAGATGGTACGATCTCAGACTTGTGTTTTAAAATATTTAGTCTTAAGTCTAGTGGCATTCAGGTTGGCCCTTTTAATTTCAAAGGAGGCAACACCGTCTACTTTTACCTGAATAAGATTTGGCGTGGAAACGTTGAGTCTTGTTTCATGTTCTGACCATCGAAGACTGTGTCTCATGATCAGCATTTCGATGTTTTGGCTGTTGCTTCTTACCATGACCATGTTGTTGGTCACGTAGTGTTCCCAGTGAAAGAACTTAATGCTGGATAAAAGGTTCTAATTTTTGAATGCTATATAGATTACACGTTTCACGACAATATAGCTAATTTGAAATGACAACAGCATTAAAACTATCACCTTTGTTGTTAAATTCAATAAGTTTATCCTTATTGATGACACGTTAGATTACCTTTTTAAATTCACCTTGTCCTGTTCCAATTCAGTCCTCAATATCGTATTCTAATGTTCAGTTGTTTGATAAAGGTCTGCGTAAATACGGAAAATGATCTACTTCTTCGAAAGTTGTATCAGATTTGGCGATATTAAAATCTGTTAACATTTTATTTGGGGTTGGCTCTGCAAGGTTCTTATTTTTTTCATGTTTACGATGGTACATCATAGTAAAGTTGTTGAATTTCGGATTAATTAATAATTATTACACTCCGCTTAAATTATTAAGTAAAGGCACCATAGCGAAGATCCTAACAGTTACCATTTATTTATAGAAAAGACACAGGGAAGCAACGTTATGGCGTTGGGAAAAGAACTGGAGCCGAAAAGCCAAATTGTTTTGTATTAGAATGTAATTCTATTTTCCATTCGTCACTAAAAATACTTTTTTTTGCCACTTTGTTAAACGATCTTTTGACCACTTCAGTTTTTTTTAATTTTTATATTGTTTATTTTTTTACCTTGCTTTGGTTAATGCTGTTTATTTTTTCTGTTGATGTACAAATTGATTTTTTGTAATAATCTGTATTAAGACTGAATTCCCTACTTATTTGTGTATGTGTTAATGCTGGATTGCTCATAGCCTCTTTCTTCTATATCTCTTGTTTAACATTTGTGTTTTTGCCAGTTTTTGCTGCACTTAAAACTCTTCAAATGTTTTTTACATTGTGGGAACATTGTTTCTGGAAATTCGCAGCTGTCTGTCAGTGAGTTATCGTTACCTTCAAATTGACAAGCTTCATCTGTGTTCTTTCAGAGATTCTCATCTTGGTTGTTATAACGAAAATGAGGATACGGGGTCGAGCAAATCCGTTAATAATCATATGATTTCTTTCTTTTTTTCTTTCTTTTTTTTGTCTTTCTTTCTTTAACTTATTTTCCTACATTCCCATATTTCTCTATAAAATGTTCCGATATTTTTACCTGTCATTTTATTTTATATTTTTTATATTACACACCTTCTGATGCCATGATTTTTTACCTTTCCCGCTTGCCTATCATATATCAAGCTTATCATTCTGCTACAACGTTTTCGGCTGTTTGCAGTATTTAGTGATTATACCGACTCTTCATATAATATTTCCAGATCTTAAATTTGTAGGCTTAAGAATAAACCGCGAGTTTTCTTTTTCTGTGTACGATAGTTTCTAAGTTTGATTTAAAAAGACAAGCTTATAATAGCTCTCTGAGTGGCCAGCTTACTTCGAGTAAGAAAAAGTTTTTTTTTTCCTCTTTCAGCGCTTCGTTACATCAAATCAAACTTTCAGCGCAGCCTTGCGCAGTTACAAAATCTGGCAGATTACGAAAATCGTATGAATGAATACACTTTGATTTCCATTAAAAACAGAATATTTTTTCCGATTAGATTCCTTTAACAATGGCATATTTAACGCTATGTGCCTGTTTTCCTTCGTTTTCGAATAATTTAAATTTTTATTGCTTTTTCCATTCTTTATCAAAATTATTTTCCCTGTGATTGCAATGATGGTAACGTCAAATGATTAAATGCTGATTCTTTGTGTGTGTTCAGGCGAAATCTATTTTGCTCGCTATAGAAATTCTCCTGGAATTTAGAAAAAGAAAAAGAAATCAGAGCAGCCTTTATGAATCCTCTGAAATCAAACAAAAACGTTATCTTTCATAAATATATTAAAAAGTTTTATTGGTTTCACAATATTTTTCTTTTTTAAAAAAGATATTCGCGTTTTTTCGATCTTTTTTCTTCATTTTTCTTTCAAACTATGTTTTGACATACGGCCATATAACGTTGAAACACCGGTTCACTTACGAAGTCTGATGATAAACAACATCGAGGATGTTTAGTACCTAGACAGTTCAGATATTTCTGATTGATTTTGGTGCCTTATAAGACATCCATATAAAAGTCACGATCTGGTTTGGTGATTTAAGAAAATGACTCAAATTGCAAACATCCCTCAAGTCATATCAGGAAATGTTGTGGCAGGCATTCTTTTTTAAATAGTAGCATGCTTAATACGTTTCTCATATATCAAGTATTTTACTCAGCATTACTTTTTGTTCTCATTTCAACCATTCTATTACCGTGTTCCATTTTCCTGTTTTTATTCTTTTCTTTTCCTCAATTTATTTACTTATTTGGACAAATATTTTTCCATTTCCTCAGGGTTCTTTTTTCCATACACTTCGCGCTGATATGTTTTCTACGCAGTTTAAAATTTTCATTTGCTAATTCTTATCGTTAGTCTTGTAATCTATTCTTCTGCTTAATCCATATGCCACTGAAGCCAATTAAAGCTGATGCATTCTCCCCGCCCCAATTTTCTCGCACGGTTCGTGTCTTCTATATTCATTTGAAAACCTTGAAAATTTACCCTCACATTTCAATGAAATTTTCCTTTTCAAAAATCATAGTTTATAATTATACGTTAGATATATGGAAAAATGTCGGCGTCAGCTTAAACAGAGGCTAGTAAGTTATAGGTTAACGCATATTAATGGAGTTTTCACGGTTCAAAATTATAGTTTCGAATCCAAGCAATAATTTTTGACTATATTTTCCCAACCTTTTTACCGCCATTGTCCACTGCTAGATGGAAAATAAATTCCACTACCCACTTTTATAATAAATATTCAAAACTATTTGTAAATGATGTGTTACTGGTTCATAACCTGACTTTATGATGTAGTAACAAATATTAAATGTAGGTAACAAATAATGCTGACTCATATGGCGGCGGCTTCAACTGCTAATCAATCAGTTATGTGCCATGCGTGATACATGCTTACGTGATCATGTATCGTTCGATTCATGACTGACGAGGCAGATTTTTTCCCTCAGTAGGTTTTCATTTCTTTCTGTGGTAGACCAGTTAACATACTAGGCTATAGAACCCGGTCTGTCCTGCTATTTATCTATAGCTGGGGAGAGAAGAAGAGTAATCATACCTTTCCCAATGGTATCAGAACGTAAATGAATGTAATGGATTCTACTGCTAATAACTTATCTATATAAATAAAGTGTAGTGCACGTGTGTCCGTCCGTCCGTTTTTCGATCTAGGCAAATCATAAAAAACCTGAAGTAACAGGTAGTAACTACTGCATTTACATGTGATTAAAAATTAAATAAATAATTCATTTAAAATTAAAGTTAAATATGGATCAGAGTGTAAGGCTTAAAAACTATTCTGTATTAAAGGTTTAAAGCTTTTCATCGCAATTCCAATATTTATGGTAAATTAAGAATGCATTTCTAATAATACAGTTTATTTTAGAATTAACAACAATACATTTTATCTGTATCTGAAGCCATGAAATTATGTTCAAAATCTTTAGATTGCGATATTAATTAACTGATAGACGTTGATATGCTGTTATACAAATTAAAAAAACAACTTGTGTTCTAATAATTCTAAATCTTTTTTTCCTATCATATTCCATCTGCCAGTCTTATGAATAATCAAGAGTGGTCTCCTCTTGTTTTGTTAGTCTCCTCTTTGAGAGGGGTATTTCTGTTTACTGGGACTATAAATGAGCACAATACGCGAAACTTAATTTTCGCAGTTGAATAAAACATTCTTAATGCCTACACCTGTGTACTTTTGTCATTCACAGGGTCTCCTAGAATTTTCCAAAATACTTTCATGTTTTTTCTTCTTTTATTTGCAGTGTTTTCCTTTTCAAAACGTACCTCGATATTTATTTTAGTATATCCCTTTTAATGCCACTTTATTTGAGTTGATAGACGTATATTCCGTCCTTTGTAAGCAAGTATAAACTGCCTTCCTTTTTATATTTTAATTCCTCCCGTTGATCTTTCTGGCATTCGACAATGTTATAATCTCCAGGCTCAATATTTATTAATTTTCTGTGATAATAAAAAAAGGGTTAACCTTGAAATAATAATAACAAAAGTAAAACATTATTTCCTAGAAGAAAAATATCCACGCCATTATTGCTATTCGTCCATTGGCTATTTAAACACCTCTTTTTTAAATTTTTTTTTTACAACCCAAAGTGGACAGGAGATTACTCA